CTTCCTGAGATACTGCTGACTTCTGGGTTTTTTATTTATGTTCTGAAATACAGCACTCAAGAGGCTGATCTGTCTTTTCCATTTTGCTTACATTTGTAATGCTCCCCACCTTTTTAATGCTACGTCATAGAAAGAAAGTGAGAATCAGCATTTGAGAATGAGAGGGGACTTAGGCCTAGAGGTTTCTCAAGGCAGGAAGAGACTGGCCTAGGATTCTGGTGCACCATCCCATCCCAGCCACCCTGAGGCTATAGCTGCACTTGCTTTGGGGGCTACCATTAGGTAAGTTGTGGCAATGCAGTTGTAACTTCATAGTCCGAACTCCTTGTCTCTAGGATTTCACAGAGCATGGCCCATTATTTTCATTAGAGCAGGCTAGTCTGAGAAACAGGAATCAAATTTGCTGCTTAGGTAGGAAAAACTGAAGCATTTTTTATATAAAATGAAAATGTCGTTGGATGAGCATAACCTGGTGTTAAGGGGGTTTTGCGGTCTGTTATCAGCATCTAGGATGTGAGAATTGGGCCCATACGGGAAAAATCCAAGACAAAGATTGGGATTCCAATTAGTGGGAGAAGCTCATTATAGGGAGTAATTCTTAGTGAAGAACACATAGGAGATTGGCCAGGCAGTATATGTGAGATGGAGTTGTGCTTCCTAGGTTGGGATTGGAAGGAAGGAGCTTATGTAATGGGAAGGGGATGACAAGAAAAAAATAGAACCATAGGATTCTATACCAGTGTGGCACCTGAATTCTAGTCCTAATAGCAAAGAAGGCATTTAGGAGCAAGGACCAAGACCCAGAGTGCACAAGATTAGTAGGGACTCTGAGCAAGGCCCTGAACAGTGTTCAGGGTGTCAGAACTGCTGCTGTTGCTGCTGCTGCTGCTGCTGCTGCTGCTCCTGCTGTTGCTGCTCCTGGCACCTGTGCCCTTGAGGACAGAGAGCTGGGCTTAGTTCTGGCCTCAGATCAGGATGGGTTCTGGGAATATGGCAAGCCCCATTAACCCCAGGTTCAGATAGTCCTGCTGTGAAGGAAGGAAGGAAGGTGGATTCACAGGCTGAGGGGTCCTGGACCTGGCACCCAGTACTTGGGCTCAGCCTCTGCTGCTGGATGTGGCTGTCTTCTACATCCTGACCTCATTGAAACTCAGAACATTTGGGAACAGCTCACTTTTCCATTTATCATCTGCTATTGGAAATTATACTTAAACATTCTAGAAACACTATCACTGTTTTATTATATCACTGTTTTATTATATTATTATCACTGTTTTGTTATAATCATTTTTATTATAGTTATAATAAAAATGATTATAACAATCATTTTTGTGATATTAACATTGTAAATTATTACTAGTGTTTTAAATTGTTTCCTTCTAACAGGAGATAAGAAGACTCATAGGATCTATCAAAAAAAATCTCTTTTGAAAGCTTATCTGCAACTGTCTAGCATCTTTTTTTTATTATTATTTCACATGTACCTCTATTCATCTGCTTGACTATTGATGAGGTTAGGGCTGACATTTGTGGTAGTGTTTGGTTGATCCACAGGAAACTCCTGATATTCAACTGCAGTTTCATATAGGTCAAAATAAAGGTATTGTGTCCAACTACAACTAAAAAATAAAATTTAAAAAAAGAAGGGATGAAGATGGGCTGTTCAATGAAAATAGCCAAGCATCCAGCAGAGACTCTGCTGTGCAGCACTCCCCTCTAGCCTGCAGCATTTAAGCTTCCTTATCTCCATCCCTAATGATCTGAAATCTGAATGTAGTACTTCCCTGTCAATCAGAAACTGACATTTACCTTAACCAACAGGGCTTTAAGTCATGAATTCCAACTTATGTCAGAAATTTGTAAAGAGAGTATGTCTTCCAGAACCATATTTCCCCAACATTTGGCTAAATCCAGAGCTTCAAAAGTAAATTTAAAATGTTTTATTGTATTTTAAACCTCCATGTCAGTCCTTTCTTTCCCTATGTGAGTAGATTCATACAGAATCATGCATGTTCTGAAACATATACTTGCATATACCTAGGCATGAGTAAAGGTGTGAGTTTACAAGAAGGCAGGCCAACATTAGGATGCCATCTCTTGGACATAACTGTCTGTCTACAAAGAACACAAATAAGCACAGGGTGGCAATATAGAAACTGGCTCACAGCAGAGTCTCAGAGCCATGTTCCAAGCTCAGAATGCTACAGAAATTGTATCTGAAAGCCCCTCCTACCCTCTTCTTTTGTACTTTCTTTCATCTTCCCCAAAATTTGTGGCCAACCTCTTCTGCACAGTGATTTTTGTCATTTAATATATTCTTTTGAACTAACTTCACACTCACTTCTGCTCTGTATAATCTGGAGCCATGTCCTTACGTGCCTTGCCTCGTAGAGTCAGGAACTATTCCATTCTAGTGATGTTTCAGGACATCTGTTTGGTTTTGCATCCATAATTGCCAAAGAGATAAAGAGGGGCTAGAATGCAGTTAAGATATAGGCTAATGATTAAATGGCTAGAGGGCCTGGGTATGAATGAAGATCTAGGAGAACAAAATTTCAACACAAGCAGCTACTGAGCTACAGAATATCCAAGTGCTGGACGTGTAAATAAACCTTGAGGATTATTTATTAAATGCTGTGCAGCATGAGTTGGGGTGATGATGTGAAGTTAAGAAAAAGAAAATGCACCACCATATGATCATTTAAAAATCTCAAATTGGGAGTATGCATTAGATAGACAACAAACCTTCTGAGTAATAATATCCTTTTGGTGGGGTGTGCCAGGGGGCATTTGACCATTTAGCCACATTTCCAGCCCTACTTTGTATTTTATTTAGAGACAGGGACTCATTGAGTTGCTTACTGCCCCGCTTTTGCTCAGGCTGGCTTTGAACTCATGGTCCTCCTGCCTCAGGCATGCACCACCATATCTGGAAAGTAACAGTATCTTAATGAAAACACAGATATACTGGGGGAAAAAAAGAAGAAACATTTCTCAATCTCTTTAGTATAATGATTTTTCAATTTTTCTCTGCAGAAAATTCTTTCTTAAATCTCATATGGTGCAGCTTAAATAGCTGACCCTACTCTGTTGTACCAGAAGCAGCACCTTTATCTCAGGACTCTTGCATATGCTGATGTTTGTCCTCAGCCATTAAACCATGGCACACCCAGCGCTATGTTAGCCTTTGAATATAGGCCTCTGGTTCTTTATATACAAGAATTATGTGCCACGGTTTCCTTCATGTTCCTTTTGTTGATGGTGTTAAAATCTTTTTCCCACCTCTGCCCACTGAACTGGTGACAATAATTAAGCTTATCTATTACAGGGCTTCCCAAGAAAGTCCTAAAAGGCTTTGGGAAAGTTGGTTACACTGTGTAAACCTTTTTTCTTACCACAAAATGAATGTGTTAATACTATCCTTAAGTAATTAGCTATATGTAATTAGAAATGATAGATATAAAATCTTATATTGTGATGATACTATACTATACTCTCAATAAAAGTAGCTTTTTATTTTTATTATAAATTGTATTTATTGATATATATCACTATAAAGTGCCTAGCATACAGTAAGTGCTCAGTTAGCAGATTTTTAATTGATAACCAAACAGATGAATAAGTCAGTAGATCAATACCAATTATTATCATTTATAGAACATGCATGAAAAGGGGCCCTCATGTCTGTAGCAAAGTTTGCTACTCAGTCATAATTCCAGTACAGCCACCGTGTCATGTTGGGTCAGGCTGATGTCATTATAACCATCCATCCCAATTCCAGAGATCCATTCTAGTTATAAGTGGCAGTGAAGTCTTTCTGAAGTTAGATTGCTCCTTGGAAAACTCAAGTCTACCTTAAAATAGACAAACATTTGCTTTGTCCATAATATTTTATTATGACCTTAAAATAACAAAAGAAAAGGTTCATGTATTCATAAAGAATTTATTGTGTACTGTGTATCAGCAAATTTACAGTGAATAGGAAGTCAGTTCCCAAAACATCAGCTCCCTTGATGTTGCTGTGTTTGGCCACATGTGCCTCTCAATGCAGTGGGTGATGATGCTGTGGTGGTGATAGCCGCTACACATATTGGATGTGTGTCTGTCTGTCTTGTGATTTCTCATGGTCGTGGCAGTTTTTCTGAGTTGTATCTGCTTTTCCCACTTCACTAAGTAGCAACTCTGAAGCAAGAGCAGGGACTGCCTTCCCCAGAGGAGTACCCAGGTGACTTGTCATGTCTGGCAGTGGCTGCTCTTTCCTAGCAGCCCCAAAGATTTGTCACCTTCCTGGATACAGGAACAGGGGAATGTAGTTATAAAGGAGACAGCTTATCAGCCTGTGGAAGAGACCAGATCATTTTTCCTGACAGAGCCTTTTGCCTGTGACCCACTGTTAGGTTCCAACAGCGTCCAGGATTCAGTCTTGACATTTAAAGGGACAAAAAATTTCAGCAATCTGATGGGACTCTCCTAGTTCACCTATGAGGTGTTCCTGCACATTCTAATACAAAAACCCTGCAGTAAGTTATGGGAGGACTAAGCAGAAACACAGAGACAGTGTTTCTGGATACATGAATATAAAGAAATGAAAGTCTGACACTGGTAAATGTTTTTAGTTATGCAGAGCATTTGGTGATGCAGGTAGTCAAGCCAGGGCATAAATACTAGAGAATACAAACTGAGCCATGTGTCATATGACATTTCCACAGCTCCATTCAAAGCACATCTGTATGCTATTCTTAGATTTTTCCATTTCCAAAATTGTAAATGCCATATGTGCTGATAAATACCTTTAATATTTACTGACCAGTGTTTGTACTTTAGAATGTGAGATTTTCTCAAAAAGCAGCATGAAAGAAACTGCTTTTGAGTGTGCTCAATGGGAAAAGAATGTCTCTATTCAGTTTTTAAATATTAAATGTGAGTCTGTTCCAATGACAATGGATGGCTGATTTATCACTATAAACTGACAACTGTGCTTTCATTTTTATACAAACCAGTGCTTTTGGCTGCCCTTATTCGGACATGAACTTGAAAAAGGAGGCAACGCTTCATGATCGTCTGAGAGAACAAACACAGGCACATTTGGAAGCAGACTCTTCACATTCAAAATTGAAAAATCTCTACAGTTTGAACTTCAATGGAAAACATGAAACAGTAAACAGTCAGCCCAGGTAAGAAACTTTTTGTAAATGTGTACCAGAAAGTAAACCTGATCAAACAGTAAAAGAACAAATTTGCTACTTGTAATGGTTCCTTATATTTCTTTGAAATAATTATTCTTATTTCGGGGGTATTGATACATTCACAGGATCATAGAATTGACCGAATCCTTGGTGTTCATTTAACACAATATTTTCTATTGCTTCAACCTCAAATATTCTCATTTACCTTTTTCTGTGTAATACAAATTGTATATAAACAATAGAAAGCATTGTGTCATCTATATAATTCTAAAAGATTCATCTTTGTCTTGAAAACATCTTTATTCTTGTTCTTTCTTTTGGCACAGAGCTGTTTGTATCTGCTGAGTCATATCAGGATTGCCTCTCATACCTGTCACTCATCTTTGTCATCTCTAATCCAGATGTACCTGATATGACTTCTTCCTGTGAAACACATCATCCTTTTGACTCTTAATATAAACTTATGCTTTTAAGTATCAGTTTTCAATTTTTATTTACATATAATTAATTGCCAAAGTATTGCAAATACAATCTCATTTGATATTTTTTTAAACTATTTATGAGCAAACAGTCTAAATAACATCTTGTACCAAAGCACTCCATACTCTGTGCTAGGAAACACAGTAAATCGAACATTAACCAAATAGCTGGAGACCAGACAAGGATTGAGCCAAGAAAAGCCAGACAGAGAAGTGACAAGTGGATGTTTTCCATAGGCAAAAGGCAGTCATGCTCAAAGTCTCCAGAATCAAGACCCCACCTGTGAGCTTTGAAGGCTTCCTTCTCCTAAGCCTAGAGCCAGTTTTTCTATTCAACACATAGGTACAGAGTTTCCTTTGGAAAAGCTTTCTGCCCTTTTGCACCCCAATCCCAGCAGGGCAGGAGCCCCTCCATTCTCAAGGATCCACCTGATTACCTCTTGGTTGAGAGAATTTGGTTGGTAGGATGTACTTTTTTTTACATCCTTGACTGTGGATATTTTTTTTCCCACACAAATGTTTTAGAACACTCAGGTGATGAAAAATTTCGTTTTTATTATATAGCTTGTTTGGTTTTGATGGCTCTGCACACGATTATAGCTTAGCCTCCTTTTTGTTGCATGATCTATTTCCTATGGATACACATTCCTCTCTATTTTTATATCTGTAACTTGCATTTTTATTATTTGGTACACACCCACTCCTCTTGTTGAAACTTCACAGGGTCTAGTTGTTCTTTACTGCCTGTTCACACCCACACTGTTTACAACTTAAGAAGTTGAGAGCTTATTCGTCCTTTCCATTTCCCAATTGGGGAAGAAATTTTCTCTTCCCTCCCTCCCACCCTCCCTTCTTTCCTTCCTTTCTCCCTCCCTCCTTCTTTTTTTTCTTCCTCCCTCCTTCCCTTCTTTCTTCCTAAAGAACTGAGTTTATTTTTTCGAAGTCATAGAGACCAGTATTTCTACTTGCCTTCATCCTTTTTGCTGTATTCTGTTGTATTTTTTTCCACATAAAACCCAGTCAGTCTCTCTTGTAAATATTTCTATATTCATCCTCAGTGTCAAAAGTCACAGAGACTAAGCAGATCTTTGAACTGCTGTTAAAAAAAATAAAACACTGTCATGTTGTCTCAGAGGTTAGCTAAGTTGTTCTTTCCAGCAAAATCTTTTCTCCCCATCTTATTTTTCTTAGGAATTGCCCCTTTTCAGGATATAATATGTACTTTGCCATTTTTGAAGGGGCTATGCACTGAAATATATAAGGTATAATTACAATAGGTAAAAAGAAACAGTGGAAAATGTTAGCTAACAACTGAGCAGAAAACTTACATCCCTTCCCATTGTGCCCTATCCTCTCTCATGCACATACACAACTGTGTGAGTAGCTGAAGCTGAGTAGCAGGCACAGCGTACAACCTGAATCCTTAGGCTTTCAAATCACAAAACCAGTGCAATCCCTGTTCTACTGTAGTTGTCCACTTTTTTTCTAACCAATTGTCTTAATAATGTTTAAATGCATGGTATTAGCAATAGTAATCTCGGTCTAAGCCCTCTTTCTACCCCATCTCCATGACATTGTTCATACCCTTGAATTCCAGGCTGAGGAAGAAGGAGAACAAGGAAATCACCAGGGGATGTTAAATAGGCTGACCATGTGCGGATAAGATCTGTTTCACTCTTCCTCAGTTTTTCTCCTAGGACTTTTCTGAAACTACCATTCCTCTATCCCAAATTTTTGCTCTTGAAATCACAAGATATCAAACCTAGAGAGTAAGGAGAACATTTAAGTTTCATCTCTTCTCTCCTGCATGTTGAAGAAAGGTCATTTTTACCTGGTTTCTTTCATGGGATGAGGGAGGGGTTTACCTTGGTGACAATTAGTAGTACAGATTCATCCTTCCCCAAGCTCTGGACAACCTTCAGTAATCTCTTGTATAAGTACTATTTGTCACCTTAGAATCTCCAGAATTCTTATAATTCAAGTGCAAAGTGTAACATTCTGGGCTAGGGATATACCTCAGTTGGTAGAGAGTTTGCCTCGCATGCCCTGGCATCCCTGTTCATCCCCAGCACCACAAAAACACACCCACACACACACACACATACACACAAAAAAAAAGAAAGAAAAAGAAAAAACAACATTATTTTTAAACATTTTTTCACAATCAATTAGGCATCACCTGACCATTTAGAGAATTTTGTTTTTTCCTTACTGTGTCTCAGTTTTGTGATTATTTTCAAAAGGTCTGGCTGCTCTCATTTTAATATTTGTAGGAGCCTATTGTTAACATGCTTATGGCTCCGCTGCATGTTTACTAGTGGAAAGAGTCCAAATGCATTCATATTTTTAGTAGAGGGTAATGCTTTAAATTTGAGTATATTATATACTACTAGATGTTTGCAAAGATTTACCTTCAAACTAGTCAGATATTCATAGTATGATAATTTTCAGGAGTCAGATTCACAATGGGTCACAATTATTGAATATATATTTTATGCTTATACAAAAATACTTATTTTTCTTTGGTTTTCTAGAATTAATAGTAGTATATTTATGTGCATTAAATGGAGGCAAACAGCACACCACCTGAGTTTCTTCCTTTGAGTCTGAACCCCATAGGCAAAAATACATGTTATGTAGTGTAACAGCTTAGAGCAAAACAGGTGTTTTTGTTCCCATACCAGTGCCATTTGTAGGTAAGGAAACAGGGACTCTTTTGTTGCTGATCTGGAACCCAAACATTGGTTTTCTGATTAAATCTAGCATATATCCATATAAGAAACAATGCAATACAATTTCCATACAATAATAAATGCTTACTAATAATATCACACACTTCTGTTGAGCTAAACAATTTATATAGATCCTCTTGTTCATTTTATTTCACCCTTATGACAACCTGTGTGTGGTAAGGTATCTCATTATGATCTTACAGTAAAGGCACCTGAAAGTTCAGAGAGGTTAGGCAAAGTATCCACGGTCAGCTAGATAGCCAGTAGAAAGGTTGGAATTTGAATGCAGATTTACTGGTCTCCAAATCCTATTTTAACTACACCAGCATAACATAAAGATGGTTTAAAGGCTTTGAAAAGATCTGGCTGGGTTTCTACTTAGACAACTTTTTAGTTCTGTATAGATTCTCAGGGTCATCTTATAACATGTATTTCTCATTTTGTGAAAATAAAACTACCCAAGGGGAAGAATGTTACCATGTTTTCCCCAAAGTGTTTATTCTTATTTATTCCATATATAACACAAAATGTTCTATCTCGAACACATTTCATCATAATATAAAAGACTTCTATCTGCAACGAGAATAAAATTATAGTCATTAAAACATTTTCATCATAAAGAAAATTACCCTGAATGTAGCTGCCCCTATATTATCCATTAGCTCTTTCCCTCAGGCCTGAGAAGGACATTTTCTCCAGGCTTTTTCCCACCCACCTAAGTGTTCTTTAATAACCTCTTTTGCCTCCTCAAAGCAGTGTTCACTATAGCGTTTGAATTCATAGCACCACTGTTGGCTAAAATATCTGTCATTCTCAGTCAGTGCTATTAGGAAAACCTAAGAAAATGCCTAGTAAAGCTCTCTTGTTTTCCCCAGTGTCTGATGTATTGTAAATTCTATGCAGTTCATGAAGGCCTATATTGGTAATAGAAATGGCTGGAGGAAATTATGGTAATCAAAGGGAATGGCACGTAGTGGAATCATCCTTTAATGATTCTGATAATAAATTGTACTGCTGTGAGCTAACTAGTTTAGTTCCATTATTCAAATTATCAGCAGCATAAATACCTTCTATGAGAGCCATTCTCAGAGTTATAACAGAGTTAGGTAGTTCTTCCACATATTAACCTCCCAAGTAAGTAAATGAGCTTTTTTTAATTCATTGGGCTTTTCTCTCACTTCTTCTCACATATATTCTATGCTTGGGACATGTAACCTGCTCAGTGTCCCCATCCCTCAACATCCACAGTGTTGTTTCTTTCTGGCATTTAAACCTTTGTTCCATCCTGAATACTTTGTTTACCCTGCCTGCAGCTTCTCCCTTCCACAAGGTTCATCTCTGGACAATTTCTAAGCCATTCCCACCTATCTAAGCTTCTTGAGGATAGAGATTCTATTTTACATGTCAATGTGTTTCTAACACATAATATAAAGTCTGACACTTATTAGTCACTCAATGAATTAACTAGATTTTGAACAGTCACTCATGATGTGTCAGGACAGTGATTGGCCCTGGGATGGCCCTGGGATGGCCCTGGGATGTAGAATAAAGGGAGCCCCACCCCTGCCCTCAGCTCTCCTCTGTCCCTCCAATCTGTGCTGCATACTGGTGGCTTATTTCTGTGTGTGTCTGCGTGTACCATTTCAATACTTGCTTTGTGTGTGTACCTTCTTTCTCAAAAGGACTGTAGGCTGCCAAAGGGAGGAACCAATGTTCTTTATTTTTGTTTTTACACATCATAGATTCCAAGTATATGTCTTAAGTTATTTGATTTAGC